GCTCTTTGCGGCTTCCTGTACCAGGTCATGGCCATCACTCACAGGAACCATGGGCTGTCCTTGTGAGATCCACCACCAAGTGTTTGTCATGTTGTCTTCCCTGGATGCTGATGTCTGCCGGTTGCTCCTGGCTAGTGCTGGCTGCTCACCCCATTCAGACTTGGGTCACTGAGCGGATGTACAGTGGAAGGTGCAGGGGAGCCCTGACTTTTTCACAGGGCGCACATGTCAGGGTGGCCTCAGGAGGGCTCCCCTGGTGAGGGGCGACTGGGCCAGAGCGTGGCATAGGGCAGTGTTCAGGCCCTGCCCGCTTCTGCCCCGTTTCCCATCGTGTGCTGGTGCCTGTGCCACTGGCCGCACCGGTACTTGGCACTTGGCTGTCTTGTCATTGTATCTCTGACCTCCCGGCCACCTCCCCTCTGATCCCTCTGCACATCACCTGCTCCCTCTTCATTATTCTCCAGCGTCGACCTGCGCATGTGCGGTGAGCTGTGCACACGCCCTTCACTCGTGTGTGGGCGCCAGGCCACGCGTACTGAGTTTCATTGGCCCGTGTCACCAGCCAGCAAGCCTTGCTGGAAGCTGTTAGCGGAAGGAAGGTCTGGAGGTGGTCCTCCTCTCCCGTGTGGCGCATGCCCTCGTTGTGGGGTTTTCTGGTGAGGTCTCCCCTATTCTCTGATCTTCAGAGGCCAGCAGCTCGACATCCAACCTGCCTCCAGGGCTCTTGCTGTCCAACAGTCCCCTGAACCAGCGATGGAGCCTGACAAGCCGCGGTGACGGGGGTCGCCCCGGCCGCCCACTCCGGCGTCCCCCTCCTCGGCGTCTCTCTGCTTTCAGGTTACTGGCATAAACCGGCCGAGGAGGAGGCCCCCTGTGAGCAGACCGTGTCTGTAGAAGCGGAGTCGCAGGTCGGTGCGTCTGAGCCGGCGCCAGCCGCCGAGAAGACACATTCCTGTGAGCAGTGCGTCTTAGTCCTGAAGGCTATTTTCCACCTGACTGAGGTCCAGGCGGGGAACCTGGAGCAGAGGGCCTTCTTCAGCGACGCGTGTGCGAGGGGCTTCTGTTTCAGGGCCAACATCCACCAGCAGCCGCGGGAGGCCCGGGCCGAGGAGCCCTGGATGGGGGGCGTGGACAGGGCCTCCTCGCTCATGACCAGTGACAGCTTCTATATGTCGGGGGCGCCGTTCACCCCTGGGGAGGCGGAGGGGGACCTCGCCGCCGCCACCACCGGCCTCCTCCAGCACCAGCCCACGCTGGGCACCGAGGAGCCGCACAGCGTCATCGAGAGCTGGCAGCCCGTCCACAGTGGGACGGGGCCTCGCCAGTGGGGGGAGTGCGAGAAGGCCGCCTTCCTCAGCCAGGACCTGCCGCAGCAGAGCGTCTACACGGGAGAAGGGCTGTTCGAGTGTGGCCAGTGCGGGAAGGCCTCCATCCAGACCTTTAACCTCCTGCTCCAGAGGAGCGTGCCCGCGGGGGAGCGGCTGCCCTACGAGTGCGGGGTGTGTGGGAAGTGCTTCAGCTGCGAGTTTTTCCTCCTCCGACACCAGAGTGTGCACACGGAAGGGAAGCCCTACGAGTGCAGTGTCTGTGGGAAATGCTTCAGCTGCAAGTACACCCTCCTCCAGCACCAGAGGATCCACTCTGAGGAGAAGCCCTACGAGTGCAGTTTCTGTAAGAAATGCTTTAGCTACAAGTTTAATCTCATGAGGCACGAGAAAATCCACACGGGCGAGAACCCGTACGGCTGTAGCGACTGCGGAAAGTCCTTCAGCCACAGCTCTGCCCTCATCCGACACAAGAGAGTTCACACTGGAGAGAGGCCCTATGAGTGTAGCGATTGTGGGAAGACCTTCACCAACAGCTCTGCCCTCATTCAGCACCAGCGGGTTCACACTGGAGAGAAGCCCTACCAGTGCACTGAGTGTGGAAAGTGCTTCAGGCAGAGCTCCGCCCTCATTTACCACCAGAAGGTGCACGCGGGGGAGAAGCCGTACGAGTGTGGTGATTGTGGCAAGTGCTTCCGGTACAATTACATACTCATTCAGCACCGGAAGGTTCACACTGGAGAGAGGCGGTATGAATGCGGTGTTTGTGGGAAGCGCTTCATCTACAACTTCAACCTCATTAAACACCAAAGAATCCACACTGGCGAGAAGCCGTACGTGTGCAGTGATTGCGGGAAGGCCTTTAGACGCAGCTCTTCCCTCATCCAGCACAAAAGTGTTCACAGCGAAGAGAGGCCCTATGAGTGCAATGAGTGCGGGAAGTCTTTTACCCGGGCGTCTAACCTCCTTAGGCACTGGCGAGTTCACACAGGGGAAAGGCCCTATGAGTGTAGTGATTGTGGGAAGTCCTTCAGCCATAGCTCCGCCCTCATTCAGCACAAAAGAGTGCACACTGGAGAGAGACCCTATGAGTGTAACGAATGCGGGAAAACTTTCACCCGCACATCCAACCTCCTTAGACACTGGCGAGTTCACACTGGAGAGAGGCCCTATGAGTGTGCGTATTGTGACAAGTCCTTCAGCCACAGCTCCGCCCTCATTCAGCACAAAAGAGTGCACACGGGGGAGAGGCCTTACGAGTGTAACGAATGTGGGAAGTCTTTTACCCGCACATCCAACCTCCTTAGACACCGGAGACTTCACACTGGGGAAAAGCCTTAATAGTGCAGGGAAGGCTGGGGGAGGCCCTCAGAGCCCAATTTAACTGAGTTAGAGCCTGTTGTAGCGGAACATCCAATGCGCTAGATTCCTCATGAGTTGTAGGCACTGGTGAGGCTTGAAGGAGGTCCATTGCACTTTCCCACCTGCCCAGGGCTGTTCCTAGATGATGTCACTGGTAGATTTCGTAGCGAAGGCCCTCTCCCCTCCACCGCCTGGCTCCCCTGCAGGGCGAGCAATAGCCCCGCCCCTGTGTGCTCAGGGAAGCCAACCCCCCTGGTCTCCCTCTTGCTGGAGGAGATGGGGAATGGGCAGGCCTGTGGGGGGGGACCCTCCTTCCTTTCTCTCCGCCAGGGGTGGGCCTGGCCCCATGCTGGTCCGGGGGACCCAGCCCCAGCTAAGAACGACCTTCTTGATGGATGTTGTTGTTCTCACACGCTGTGAGGAATTCTCCCAGGTTCGCCTTCCCCGACCTGGACGCTTGGCTGTAAGCTTTTCTGGATCATGATAGAATGATGATATAACTATGGTGGTTGTACAGTCCCTGCGTGACATGATTGGGAATAAGAAGTGTGATCTGCCAGCATGTGGAGGGGGACGTGTCTGTGTTAGGGGCCCCCTAACTGTCTGTGCGTCAGAGGGGGCCACGTGATAGTGGGGAGTCACGCCTTGTCCAGCGTTGGCTTGTTTTGTACTTAGCTGCCCACGGCCTGGCCGGAGACACTGCATGACTTTGTGGTCCTGGTGGGAATCCCGGTGCCATGATGATGGGGGGGTCAGAGGCCACTCTGAAGAGGGGGCATTCTTTTGTGCTTCTGTGGACAGTGTGAATTTAGTCCCTTTTTACCATGTACATTGCCTGCTTCCACCCGTGCGGAGGAGCCACCTGCCGTGTGAGTGAGACGTTCTAGGTGGGTGACTTGTTGTAAGTCTCAGGTTAGGTGGGACCACAGTTGGCACAGAAGCACTGTGTTCATAGTGGGGGGGAGGCTAGTAAATTAGAACGAGGGTGTCTCTTCTTTTTAAATATATTTTTATTGATTTCAGAGAGGAAGGGAGAGGGAGAGAGAGAGAAACATCAATGGTGAGAGATGATGAGAGAGAATCGTGGATCGGCTGCCTCCTGCACGCCCCACACTGGGTGGGGGATCGATCCCACAACCCAGGCACGTGCCCTTGACCGGAATCGAACCTGGGACCCTTCAGTCCGCAGGCCGAGGCTCTATCCACTGAGCCACACCGGCCCGGGCAGAACGAAGGTCTCTCTTCTGAAAGCTCAGCCACAGATGCTGCAGGGCCCGTGGCTTCTGGGGTCCGTGGCTCCAGACCCTCTCCTGACCTGAATCACCGCCTCTAGCAGCTTTGCGGATCCCCTAGCCCCGTGGTCGGCAAACTGCGGCTCGCGAGCCACATGCGGCTCTCTGGCCCCTTGAGTGGCTCTTCCTAAGCCTTAGGAGTACCCTAATGAAGTTAATAACAATGTACCTTCCTATAGAGTTTAAGTTTTAAAAATCTGGCTCTCAAAAGAAATTTTAATCTTCGTACTGTTGGTACTTGGCTCTGTGGACTAATGAGTTTGCCGACCACTGGGCCAGCCTCTCTGAGGTGAGCACCTCCAGGCCGTTGCTCTGCAGACAAGCAAACCGGCCGGGAAGCGAGGCGATGGATTTACTGTCGTCATTCCCAGGACGTCCTTCGCGACCCTCAGCGTGCCTGTGACTCCGAGGGCAGGAGTCTCCCTCGCGTGCCAGGCTCCGCTGCCCTTCGGCAAGGCTGCCCCTCCCGGACCTGAGGGGGAGCGGAGGGGGGCACACAGGCTGGCCCACCCGACGCCCTCAGCAAAGGGGGGCCTCAGGCCTGCGTGGCAGCGGCGTCAAAAGCTTTATTCAACCATGTACATACGTGTACTTCACATGCAGCCAAGTGCACTTACCCAGCGTGTGCTGTTCGCCGAGCGGTGACACGGATGAAGCTGTGAGACCGTCACACAGGAAGCGGACTGGCCTGGCGCCCACGGGCAGGGCGGGACAATTGCAGGCCTCACGTAGCGAGCGCGTGCAGCATGGAGCCCATTCCTGAATTATTTATTAATTGTGTTGATTTCCACGCTGTCGGTCTCCGTTCGCCCCGCCCTGGGTTCGCCCCCTGCCCTTGATGCTCTCCCCCCGCCCGCCCCAGGCCTGGTGCAGCCACTGACTCCCCTTTACTTACAGTAGGTTAGTTCGTCGTTTCTGTAACGTCACAGGTGTGTAACGGTTTCCTTCATGCCGCACAGTTACTTCAAGATTCCAGCGCAATGCTGATGTGAATAGCTCATTCCTTTCTGCGTAGGAGTAGTGCGAACTGTAAATAGCCCCCGTGTTTACCCAGTGATCTGCCTGCGGTTAGGGTTACGTCCGGGTTTGCGGTATTACGAATAAAGCTGCTATGAATATGTGCGTTCCGGGTTCTTTATGTCGGTGCGTGCTGTGTTTCTCAAACTTACCATGTAGATAAATGCTTACATTTTTTAAATGCGTTAACTGCAATCTAAAGTGTTGTTCCCTTTGCCTTCCCGCCATCCCACAGGGTATGAGGATGCCAGTTCTTCTGCCACTTGGCCAGCCCTTCCTGGGGCTAATTTTTTAAAACATCCCCGATGTCAGTGTAGTGGCAGCTTGTTTATTTCTGTTCCATTTCCCTGACAATTCACGAGGGTGAGCCTGTGCCCATGCGTTTATTTATGAACACACCGCCTCTATCTCCTTTGGTAACGTGTCTGCTCAGATTCTCTGCCTGTTTCCTTTTTGTGGACTTACTGTTTTTGTTTGTTTGTTAACATATTTTTATTGATTTTTTTTCAGAGAGGAAGGGAGAGGGATAGAGAGTTAGAAACATCGATAAGAGAGAAACATCGATCAGCTGCCTCCTGCACACTCCCTACTGGGGATGTGCCCGCGACCAAGGTACATGCCCTTGACCGGAATCGAACCTGGGACCCTACAGTCCGCAGGCCAATGCTCTATCCACTGAGCCACACCAGTTGGGGCTGAATTTTTTTGTTTGAATTAATGGGCTGACAGTGTAGCATCCAAACATGTTGTTGGAATGTCACTCATTCCTTGAGGACCCGAGTGACTTCTTTGCCCTATGGAACAGTTTTTGTGATTTTTAAAATACAGTTTTATTGATTTCAGAGAGGAAGGGAGAAGGAGAGGGAGATAGAAACACCAGTGATGAGAGAGTCATCGCTTGGCTGCCTCCTGCACGCCCCACGGGGGGCTCAAGCCGGCAGCCTGTGAGTGTGCCCCGACCTGGAGTCGGACCTGGCTCACAGCCTGATGCTTACCCACGAGGCCATGCCGCTGGGCCGGAAGTGTATGTTCACACACACGTGGGCAAGCTTTTCCAAAGCGTAAGCAACAGCCAAGAGTTGCCTCTGAAGCAACCGTTAAGCTGTCTGTGTACCGTGGTTCCTCAGGAGGCCCGCACCCCGCACCCCGCGCCTGCATGAACTCTGGGTCCCTTTAACTCCAGTCCCCACGCTGCCAGTGTGGGCGGGACGTCCTCCGTACACACCGACCAACGCAGTTCTGCCCACAAGAGTCGGGAGGAGACAGATGGCCCACACTGGCTGGTGTTGCAGGTTCATCTCACTCCAAACTATTTTTTTCTCTTAATGACTGTGAAACTTTATTATTTTTTTTCATCTTCTCCCACCTGAGGGTCTATTTTTGTTGATTTTAGAGAGAGAGAGAGAGAGAGAGAGAGAGAGAATCACCGATATAAGAGAAGCATTGGTTGCCTGCCTCCCTTAGGCACCCAGACCCGGGGATGGAACTTGCAAACTGGGGGTGTGCCCTGACTGGGACCCCAACCCGTGACCTCTCGGTGTACTGGGCCACTCTCCAGCCAGCCGAACCCCACCGGCCAGGGCCCCTAACACCTGCTTGGAGGGAACCCATTCCTGACTCCTAGGCCTGTGCCCTGTCTGCTAACCAATTGTCTTAAGGCCTCTGGGTGCGTCGGGCGGGGAACCACATGGCACCCAGTGGGTCCATTGCACACCCCAGGAGACTCCGCACTGAAGACCGAGTGAAGATGTCCAGAAATGCCCCCGCCTTAGAGATCTTTTTCATTTTTAGTCCTCACTTGAGGATATTTTTCCCATTGCTTTTCAGAGGGACTGGGAGGGAGGAAGGGAGGGAAGGAGGGAGAGAGAGAAACATCGATGTGAGAGAAACATCAATTGGTGGCCTCCCACACCCACCCCGATGGAGAGGGGGAGTGAAGCCGCAGCCCAGGTACGTGCCCTTGACTGGGAATCCAGCCCTCAGCCCTTCCTTCTGTGTGCAGCCTGGTGCTCTGACCACTGAACCACACGGCCCAGGATGAGATCTTATCATTGAGGTTGGGGTCCTGAGGCTGGTACACAGGCACAGCATACACCCCCCACCCCCAGCTCTGCAGGGTAGGCCCTTTAATGAACCCAGTGAGCCAGAGAGCAGGCAGGAACTTCATTGATCGGCTGCCTCCTGCACACACCCTACTGGGGATCAAGCCCACAACCCGGGCATGACCGGACCGGAAATCGACCCCTGACCTGGTTCCTGGGTCAACGCTCAACCCCTGAGCCACACCAGCTGGGCCGTGTGTATATTTTTAACCCTTTTTGGTCCAACCTCGAGGCTGACTCGCCAGACCAGGCGCTAGGAGCAGGTCCAACGTCGAGCAATAAGAACATTAAAAAGTTCATTCAACCCCGCCAATTAATTTGGACCAGAATGTTTGAATTCCAAAAATAGCATTGGACCGTAAAGGGTTAATATATTTTGATTGATTTCGGAGGGGAATGGAGAGGGGAAGAGAGAGAGAAACATCAACGACGAGAGAGAATCATTGAACAAATTCCTCCTGCAGGCCCCACACTGGGGATGGAGCCCTCCACCCGGGAATGTGCCCTGACCCAGAACCGAACTGTGGCCTCCTGGTTCATAGGTTGATGATCAACCACTGAGCCACGCCGGCCGGGCTACCCACGGGGTTTTAATTTACAGAGGTGACCGAATGGGGACTTGGAGAGTTTGTTGCCTCTGTAAGAAGGTTTTATTGCTCACAGCTCCCGAGAGCAGAGGCAGGGTGTGTCGCGGGGCCACAGGGGACAGCGCCAGTGTTGGTAATGGCAGGAGGGAGTGAGGAGAGCGTGGGCACACCTTCCCAGCAGGTTCCTGGGGAAAGGCAAGGCCGGAAGCATCGACCACATCAGACGTGAGAGTTGGAACCACTGGCAGGCGTTGGTGGTAGGGGTAGCCCCCAGTTTCCTGCTACCTCACCCTGACTTGATTTAGGAAAAGACATTGGCCTGGCGCCTGGCGTGTGAGTCAGATAAAGGTGGTGGGTGAGTAGGGCTCTGGATCGGTAAGTTTGCATAGGAAAGAATGGGAGGCTGGTGGGCAGGTTGTTTATTTGTGGTTTTTTGGGCAGAGGAGCAGGTTTTTTATTATCTTTTACTAGAGGCCCGATGCACGAAAATTCCTGCAGGAGTAGGCCTTCCTTCCCCCGGCTGCCGGCACCAGCTTTCTGCCGGCACCCAGGACCCGGGCTTTCCTCCTCTGGCCACCCGCAGGCACCCGGGACCCGGGCTGGCTTCCCTCCAGCCCCAGCTTCACCAGGAAGGATGTCTGGAAGACTTCTGGTCTAATGAGAATATTTCCCTTTTATTATTTTAATTAATTAACTCGCCCTGGGAGGGGCAGTCTCTTCCAGGTCGGCGGGCCCTCCAGGATGTCACCATAATAAAATACAGAAAATAAAAGAATGTGATGAAGGAATATATAGACGCACTTCTCACACATGACAAATTAAGCCAATGTGCCTATCCCTAAGCCTTTCAGTTTGTTTTTTTTAAAAAGATATATATATATATTTTATTTTTTTTTTTAATATATTTTTTATTGATTTTTTTCTTTTTAGAGAGAATGAAGGGAGAGTGATAGAGAAATATATCGATGAGAGAGAAACAATCTATAAAATGCC